TGGCCTAGGAATACTTTCTGCACTGTGAGGTTATAAGGATATTTATCTTTATTACTTTCCATATGCTTGTAGTTCAAAAAGCAACAACAAAACTCCTTTGTCTTTAACTCATTTGGAAATTACTCTTGTGTACAGTGTGAGGTAGGGAATTTAGCTTTGTTTCTAACTGGATGGTCAGCTGTCCCTGCTCTTTTCAGCAAAGAATCTGCCCTTTGTCATGTTTTAAGTTCCAGTGTCTGTTGGGAAGAGCCTTTGAACTCTTTCTCTCCCACGGATCATTTTGTCCTCGTGCCACGAGTATACCATTTATTTGCCGTAGCTTTGGAATCAGCTTTAATATCTGGTCAGTCACCTTCCTTCATGATCGTCCTTTGCAGAGCCATCTTGACAATTTTTGTGGGTTGATTTCTCCCCCCTGAGCATCACATTCACATGGTCCAATTTTCCCCCTAAAAAAGGAGAGAAGATTTGGTCTCATTTTTAAAGAAATGCCACAAACCCAAACTCAGAGTCTTGCTGGGATTCTGAAGGGAATAGAATAAGTATATATAATCCTTGAAGATTTGGCCAATTGTGATGGTCGATCCTTCTCAGAGAACATCTCTCTTCGTTTATTTAGGACTTGATTTAAGTTCTTTTTTTATTTTTAAATTTTTTTTTTCAACGTTTATTTATTTTTGGGACAGAGAGAGACAGAGCATGAACAGGGGAGGGGCAGAGAGAGAGGGAGACACAGAATGGGAAACAGGCTCCAGGCTCTGAGCCATCAGCCCAGAGCCCGACGCGGGGCTCGAACTCACGGATCGTGACCTGGCTGAAGTCGGACGCTTAACCGACTGCGCCACCCAGGCGCCCGGATTTAAGTTCTTTAATGGCATTTCATCATTTTGTCAAGGAAATCTTGTACGCTTCTGATTAGATGTGTTTCTAACCATCTCATGGCTAGCTCGGCAAGATTAGGGCCTCAGGACGTGGCAGGCCTCAGAGAGGCAGAGCAAAATCTGCCACGTGGTGATGAGGCATGTGTCTAGCAGTTGCTTGCTCTGTGGGGTCGCTCTGGCCTTAAGTGGCCACACCAGCCTGTAAGCCCAGCTCGTGAGGATTTCCGGGGCCAGGTTTGGCTTTGATGTTGGATCCCTTTAAGTTCAGCTCGCTGTCATACTGAACTTGGGTTATCAGGATTCATCTGGAATTTTACCATGAAATGGTGGCATGAAAGGGTGGGCTCCTCCTCTGTGCCCTCAATATGTCCCCGTGCTCCCTTCTTGCTATTGGTGACATAGTTAACACTCCTGCGACCCTTTACGACTCAAAGAGCCGGACAGCAGCTTTGCCTGGACGGCGTGAAGGGTTTGGTGGGATCTGAAGCTGAAGCCAGCGTTCCAGCGTGGCTCACACACACAGGACTCACATTCGTCCCTCGCACCAGCACGGTGCCCCTGACCCGGCCCCAGAGTTAAATGAGAGAGCCGTCCCAAGCCAGGAAAGTGGCTCTGAAAGTTTTCTGCTTCCTGAGCCAGTGGCCCTCGCCCCACATTGGTGCCTGCTTGTCACACCGAGCCCGGTTCAGAGGCAGAGGAACCACTATCCCTCGAGATGGCGAGATGGCGGGCTGGTGGCAATTCTTTATGTCCCTGCAGGGGCCCCGCCTCTGAAATAGTTCTCCTGCTGGGGTGGGCGTCGCCAGTGGTCTTCTCCCTCTCACTTCTGTCCTTCAGGCCTTCTTGCTGGGGGGTCGGGCAGATCCTTAACAGAATGTGGAGTGAAAGAAGCTGGTCACCAGTGGCCACTTACAGAGTGTGGTTCCATTTCTGTGAAGTGTCCAGAACAGGAGAACCCACGCAGACAGGAAGTAGACTAGCGGTTACCTGGGGCCGGGGGTAAATGGGGAGTGACTACTAATGGGAACAGGGTTTCTTTCTGGTGTGTCTAAAACGTTCTGGAAAAGACCGTGGCCGTGGGTACGCAGCTCTGAGAACACACTGAAAACACTGAAAGTCGGTGAAGTCTATGGCACGTGAGTTATATCTCAATAAAGCTGTTACCAGGAAGAATATGGCCCTGACCTGCCTTTCCGGAACACAGGGACGAGAGCCAGGGCGCTCCTGAGCAGGCCCCCTTCCACTCGCCTCTCCCCGGCTCCCACGTTCGCCCCCGCTGCCTGGCCGCGGTCCCCCCCATCTCCTCACTTCCCACCACTCCGGTCCTCCCGAGCTGGGGCACGAGGTCGGCCCTCGCCACCCCGTGTAGCTCCCCCCAGAGGCGCCCAGTTCGCAGCACAAACGGGACCTCGGCCACAGTGGGCTCCCTTCCACCAGGTGCCTCCATGGTCCACTGGCACCCATGGCCTTCATCCCCAGCACTGTATGTGGTCAAGGCGCTGGAAGGATCCAGAAGGATCTGAAAAGAACTGAGGGCTGGCATCCCATGCCTGGCACAGAGGAGGTATATGGGAAGTCCTTATGGACAGGCCGAATCGCCAGCGTCCCTGGGTTAGGCCTGGATGCTGGAGGAGGAATCAGGGAGAGGAAGAGGCGTGTAAGGGGGGTGATGGGAGTCTGGGGGCCTCTCGCGCTGCGGCCTCAGCCCCTCTCACCGCGCTACGGCTCCGGGGCCCAGAGCTGAGGTTGGCCAAGGACGCTCGGCAGGCGGAAGCTTCCAGAGCAGGCAGGCACTAGCACCGTGGGAGGAACACGGAGGCAAGCCCACTCGCCACAGCTGTGACTCACCAGGACCTGCTCAGCAACTGGTTTTGTCTGCATGTCTGGGCAGAATGGGACCATCCTGGGTGTCACCAGGGTGGCGGAATTAGGGCGGCTCGTCAGCCTGGAGGGGACACACTCATCGCTGGGTCTTTCCACCCCTTTTGCGGACCCTTGTTACCAGACACCTTGCCTCGCAGGCCCTGACTTACTGTCTGTTGTTGTTACATCTGGAAGCGTCCATCCGTCCTGCTCGCGTCGCTTGGTGCCTAGCGAGGGCCGAACTTTCCCACAGAGACGTTCCCCACCCAGCGGGCGCGCTGTGTGTGGGTGGCGGCCAGGGGGACCCGAGCGCCTGCTGCACAGCCCGGCACCGAGCTCTTTGGGGGCCCCAAGGGTGACCCCACAAGGCCGGCCTCCCGGAGCTCCCAGCCAGGCCTCGGGGGTTGGGATGGGGGCCAGGCTGGTGGGAGATGGCAGTGACTAAGCCGGGGGTCTCCATGCTGTGCACGGTCTCCCGTTGAGGATCCCACAGAGGGAGTGAGGGTCCCGCAGGGGGTTAAATCAGGCCCCTCCCTTCTTTTCTTTTAACTTCATTTTTATTTGTGTTTCGTTTCAATCCGAGTTAGTTAATGTAGAGTGTAATGACGATTTCATTAGAATTTAGGGATTCATCACTTACCTACGACGCCCCGGGCCCCTCCCAACAAGTACCCTCCTTAATGCCCCTCTGCCATTTAGCCCACCCCCCTCTGGCAACCCTCCGTTTGCTCTCTGTGTTGAAGAGTCTCTTCTGGTTTGTCCCCCTCCCTGATTTTGTCTTGTTTTTGCTTCCCTTCCCCTACGTTCATCTGTTTTGTATCTTAAATTCCACATGTGAGTGAAGTCATCAGATATTTGTCTTTCTCGGACTGATCTCGCTTAGCATAACACCCTCCCGTTCCATCCACGTAGTTGCAAATGGCAAGGTTTCGTTCTTTTTGATGGCCGAGTGATACTTCATCGTATATATATCCCACGTCTTCTTTGTCCATTCATCCCTCGATGGACATTTGAGGCCCCCCTTTCTCACCCTCAGTAAGGACTTATTGAGCACCTCCTGTGTGCCAGGCAGGCACCAGGCCACTTAAAGACACGGTGGTGAGGCCCTCGTGGTGGGGACGACGGTCTAGCAAACAATCCTACACACGCATCATTTCACCCCACGGAAAGGCCAGGGAGGTGCAGGGAGTGGAAGGAGGTGGCCCGTCCTGCTGGTCAGCTGGGGCCCGGGGCGGGAGTCAGCCCTCGGTGCTATCCCGGGAGGCAGCGTGTTGCTGGGGGAAACGCAGGGTAGCAGTGGCCCGGGGAGACGAGACAGGGGCACGAGGCCAAGTCACAGGTGGGACCTTACAGGACTTTACCCTGGAGCCTTGCTGAGCTCCGGGTGCAGGGCCAGCTTCAGGGGCCGGCGGTCGTGCCCAGGACCTCACTCCGCCAGGCCCCTGCACTCGGTCTAATGCATCATACTTGCCAGCTGGAAACTCTTACCCAGTTTTGAACAAGGGGCTTGCGTTTCCGTTTTGCTCGGCATCTCTGTGGGTCCTGCTGCCGCCCAGGAGCCCGAGCTGGGCCAGGGGCTGACTCCGGAGCCCAGGCCCCTCCACCATCCCATCCTGGCAGTGGGAGGAGGGCTGGGGCTTGCCCTCTCTGCTGGGCGGGGACAGGCCTTTCCAGGACCCGCTCCCCTCCCCTGGAAGATAATCTCCGGTTAGGAGCCCAGGCCCTCAGCCGCACACGGGCCTCTGATGTTTCATGTGGAGGGCGCTCCCCGGCGGGGCCTTGCGGGGGTGGATGGCGTGGGCACGGCTGGGAAGGGGCGCGGACGCTCTCAGAGGCTGGGCCGAGTCCTGCAGAGCATGGCTCCCCCAGGGCCCTGGGCTCGGCCTGGTCACAGGGCTGCCTGCCGCAGGCCAGCATGAGTGCCAGGCAGAGGCACGCCATCCAGAACATTCTTCCCGGAGTTTGGCCCAAAGGGCAGGAACTCAGGTCCCGGCACCCGGAGCAAGCGAGCATAATTCCTCACCTCAACTTGCTCATCTGCACAGCGGGGACAACCTCCCGGCTGCAGGGCGGTGGATGGGGGGCTTGTAACGGCTCCGGGAGCCCCCGGCCATGCTGGGCACGGGCGTCCTCTCATCTCGGCTCCCCGACAGACACACTGCTTCCGGAGAGGACCACAGACGCGGGCCCCTGTGTCTGGCCCAGAGGAGGCACCCAATGAGCCCTGGGTTAAAGAAGGAGGGAGTGGCTGATGTTCTGCTCCTGTCGCGAGGCGAGGCCATGGCCGGGAGGGAGGGAGACAGAGCAGGAATGTCAAGGGGGTGAGAGGAGCTGGGCGTCCCTCAGGAGAGAGCGGTAAGTAAGCAGCGTTTGAGGATTAGGAAATACCAAGCGGAGGGAGGCCTGAAGGGCCCTTCGCAAAGCAGATGGGAAACCGGATTAGACGCTGAATCGATAGGAGGGCCTCCCGGCACATTGAAGACGCGGCTTCGGAAATGTGGAAGGAAGGTCCGGGCACCCAGCCGTCCTGCCCGCCCAGGCGCCCGGCAGCTGGGCCAGGTGGTAACCCGTGCCCGCCTCTGTGGCAGCCAGACCTCCCAGATCCTGGGGCCCCTGCGGGGCTCCTGGCTGGGGGAATGGAGGGGAGGGGGGGGGGGCGGGCAGGGGTCGAGGGGCAGGAGCAGACCCTGCCTGCTGTATTCTTCCCAGGGGGACAAAGCCACCTGTACAGGCCCTTCTGTGTCTCCTGAAGCTTCCGCCGCGGGCTGTGAGTTGCAGGCTCCACTTGGCCGGGTCTCCGGGCCCCAGGAGGGGCTGCCATTGGGCCCCACATCCTTGGTGGTGGTGCCGTGGGCTTCGGTGCCGCGTAATCTTCAGAAAAGGGAGGCAAGTGCAGGCAGGGTGGGCACCTTCCCTCCACTGGTCGCCGGGTGTGGGCAGGGCCGTGCCAGAACTTTGGGCTCGGTACCCCGAGTGCTTTATGCACCCACCTCCGACCCAGCTTCACACCAGGCTGGGCCTTCAGGGCTTTGGAAGCTACTTGGGCAGTTTCTCGAGGGTTCCAGGGAACGCTGGTCCCAGAAGATCCTCTAGGAAAAGGACTTCTGAGGTCAGCTTGGCTTGAGAAGCTTTGCTGGCCGTCTCCTCTCGGAGGGGCCTGGAAGGGCTCCAGGCAAACCTCAGTGAAAACTCTGCTTCCCCCTGCGATTTCCAACCCCCGTGGCCCTATTCACGTCCCGCGGAACCAGAGTCTGCTTTGGGAAACGTCTGTGCCCGCCCTGTGCTAACAGGGCATCTGCACGGCGGTGACCTGTCTTGGACCGGCTTTGGGCCTGTGAGCCCGCTCTGTCTGGAGGACCAGTTAGCTGCCGCCCTGCCCCAAGCTGCAGAGGCCCCCTCCTCCCCTTCCGGGCCAGATACGCCCCAGACTCCTCCATACTGTGTGGGGCAGAGGGAAGGGCACCCCTTTCTGCCTGTGTGGCGGGAAGGAAAATCGTCAGCTGGCTGGAGCAGGGGGCTCTGTCCTGGCCGGGTGCTGGCGTCTCAGGCGGTTCCAATGAAACAGCATAGAGGTCTTTTTTCAGGCTGCTGGCCCTTGGAGAGACTGGGGCAGGGGGCCCGGGAAGGATGCAAAGGCAGGAGGGCAGGAGGGTACCGCTGGGCCCGGCAATGCTGGCTGCGTGCACAGGACGCCAGGGAGCAAGTCGCCTGGGCAGAGACGGGCTTTGAGGCTTCAAAGCTGGATGACCCAGGCCTGCCCAGAGTCTGGTGGGGAACCAGGGGCCCACAGCAGGCTCGGCAGGCTTGGCACACGGGGACAGGGCCAGGGAAATGCTCAGGGAGGTCAGAGTGGGGGAGCCAGGCATGCCAGGGGGATTTGGGCAGGGGTCAGGGATCAAGGCTTGGGAAGCTCCACTTGGAAATGCCTTGGAGCCCAGCGGGCTGCCCTGGGGGCAGGACACGGGATTCCCCTGGGTGAGCTGGAGCAGAACCCGGGCCCTGGCGGGGTGTGGGGAGGACAGCAGCGCAGCCAGCTACTTAGGAGAAAGCTGGCACTTTCCCAGTAGTGAGTACCCCATCTCTGGAGGTATTTCAGCAGGAGCTGGGCCCTACCAAGCAGAGATGGCACAGGACAGAGGTTAAGAGCATGAACTGTGGTATTCATCCATCCATCCAGCCATCCATCCATCCACCCAGCCATCCATCCAACCATCCATCCATCCATCCATCCACTCCCACATCCATCCATCCATCTATCCAACCATCATCCATCCAACCATCCAACCATCCATCCAACCATCCATCCATCCATCCATCCATCCATCATCCATCCATCTATCCATCCATCTGTCCAACCATTCATCCAACCATCATCCATCCAACCATCCAACCATCCATCCAACCAACCATCCATCCATCCATCCATCCAACCATCCATCCATCCGTCCATCACCCACCAGGTCCAAGACACAGTTCTGGGTTTGAATCCCACCTTTTCATCACTCTGCAACCTTGGGTTGCTCACTTAACTCCTCTGAGCCCTGCTTTCCTCATCTGAAAACATCTGTGTTTCTATCCCTTTCTTCACTGGGAAGAGTGAGTCTGAAAACTGGGATCTTGAACAGCCCTCAGGGAATTTCAGGTCCCCAGTCTGGCCAAAGTGGGTGCTGTTGCTTTGGGGCAGCCCCACCCCCGGGCCATGCAGGAGGTGGAGTGCAGGTGTGGGCGTGAGGAGGGACCCCAGTGCGCTTGCCTTCAGCCTCTAGCTGTACCACCTCAGCCTTTGTGGGACCCCAGAATCTACCGGAAAAGCATCCCAAAGAGGCCTGGCTCTCCCTTCCTCAGTGGGCCAGCTGCTCCTCCCAGCACTCTCCCCAATGACAAGCCAGAGAAACAGCTGTGTGTAACTGGGTGATTGTGAGGGTCTCTGGTGGGCTCGGTTTGCTGAGTGGTGCAATGGGGACACACAAAGCTTCTGCGTGCAGACATGGGGGCCCCAGGCCTGGGACAGGCAGGGATTCTGCCGCTTGGGGCCCCTCCTCAGGGGCTGGCACGGCGTGGGAACGGTCTGGCTTAGGCTTCATGTGCTCCAGCAGATTGACAAGGTCCAGGGCCTATGCTCTGCCTCCCAGGGGACAAGATTGACGGCTGATCGGTGGGGGGCAGGCGGCCAAGGCGGGGTGTGCTGGGAACAGTGAGCCCTTGACTCCCTTCTGGTCCCTCCCTCTCCCCCCAGGCCTGGCCCCAGCCCCTCTGTGGGGATAACAGAGGGGAAGAGCCCAGCACCCCACGGTGGCCCTGAGATGGTGGGTGCACCATGGCAGGAAGTCAGCCCTAGGCATCTGCCACACCGAGGCCGTGAAGTGTGTGGAAGGTGATATGAGCCCTCATTCCCTGAGTCTGCCCCTGGGTCTCCTGCTCCTCCTGGCTGCCCCTTTTCTCTGCCTCTGGAGCATATGTGGCTTCCATACCCCTTCTAACTCCTGCCGCAGGCCTGCTTCCCGTCAGCCCAGGACCTCTTGGACCCCTGCCCTAGAAAAATCCATGAGTTCCTAACCTACACTGGCTCCCAACACGGCTGAGGGTAGAGATGGGAACATGGCACCTGGGGAAGGACAGAGATTGGCTAGACTGAATGTGGAGCCTGGGGAAGCCAAGTGTCTTGTCTTCGTCCAGCTGCCTTTTCCTTGCAAACTGTGACGACTCATTTTCATGGCCAGGGCCTCAGCCTCCTGACACTGGAAGGCCCCTTGCAGATGGTCCCAGCCAGTGGGGTCCGGAGAGCCCCGGGCCCTGAGGAGGAGCACCGGGGGCTGCGGCCAGGGTCAAAGTGAGGGCCTCTGGGGCTCCATCGGCTGTAGCAGAACAACTCCACAGGTGTCAGCCTTGTCCTCACTCCTGTCGGATCACCCACTGTGGCAGAGTCCCAGCCTTCCAGGGACATGCATCAGGGCTGGAGACACCTCCAGGCCTCCTTTCTCCCACCCAGGGCTCTTCCTCTGGCTTCTTCAGGGGGATGGGGAAGGGGCTTCTGGTTCACGTGTGGCTTCCCAACCTCACTGGGAGGAGAGGGAGCTGAGGAGGGGAGGCTGTGCCTGGAGCCCCGACTTAGGATCCTGGACTTGGCACCATTGGAGAAAACAGTAACCCCCAAGACCTTGGCCAGGGCCCTGTGTAGACTCCTGCTACACATTCCCCCTGCCAGAGGGTTGTTGGCACAGTGCGGGGGATGCTGGCTCCGTAAGGTGGCTTGACATAAGGTCCAGGCAGCACCTGGACCACAGAGCTAGACCTTGGTTGGGACGGACAGTGGGTATTTGAGAAAGAGTCTCCTTGTGCAACCAGAGTTAGATCAGAAGGACGCACCCATCCACTCACCATCTAACTTCTCACCCATCCTCCAGCCAGACTTCTACTTTTCATCCCAGTCTTCCACGTAGCCATCCACCTGCCAATTGGTTCATTAATTCATTACTTACTTATCTGTCTTTTCAGTCATCTGTTGGCCCATCCATTCAAAGGTCTGTCCGTCCATCCATCCATCCACCCATCCATCCATCATCCCTCCACCCATCATCCATCCATCCTTCCATCCATCCATCCATCCATTCATCC